GAGGGGTGCTGCTTTTATAGCTCTGCAATCGAGACCGAGAACTACTTTTGGCAATGCGTTAGACATATCGCTCTGGCTGACTCTGACCTGTATCCAGCATGCTGGGCAGCTTTTGGGCGCATCCTCTTTTTTTGCTCCACACGGGCCAGCCTCTTGAGCTCGCTACCCGCCAATAATTGGCGGATCCTCTCAAAGGAGCCGCTAAAGTGCTAACCAAAGCTAGCAAATAACAGGCAAAAGGAGCACAACACCCAATAGAATAGGAAAAGCATCTGAACTACGTCTTCACCCCTTTGGGGGGAGATGAGCTGATGCTGATATCTACACAAGGTTTCCACGAAAGCATGCAAAAGCGACACCTTCTCATGAGCACTTATGACCTAGGGTGGCAACAAAGCTCAACCGGTGAGAACACCAACATTGTCAACTGTTGAGAAACCCCCTGAAAAAGACATCTCAAAAGCAAACCCATGTTCAACCAAAACAGGAACTTTCAACAGGTTGACTGGGGCACATCGTCATGTTTCCGGCCTTTGGACTTCTGAGGCGCCTACTGGTTTAGCTCCCGGACTTTGAAGGGTGCAGCGCGCACCTGGGCGCTTCGCATCGCTAGGAAGGACCACAGGAAGGTCCACGCACGCGGTGAAGCGACTCAAAGTCATGCAAAATAGTTTCATCGACGGACAAATCACCCAAAAAAACATAACGTAACATGTCTTCCGGATTGCGGGTAGGTGGCCAGCTCGTCAACTGCATGAAGTTCGATGATCGCGCATGATTGCGCCAAAGCGATGGCAATCGGATTCCGTAAAGCATATTCAAAAAAATAGCTCTTGCGCTTTCAAGTCGCCTCCAACCTGCTCTGCGACACTGCTTTGGTCAAGTGTGGCTTCTGCTGTCGCTGCTCTTCTGCGATCTCGATCTCCAAATCAAATGCACCTTGATCGAAGCAATGACTGCTAAGTGGCCCTCCCACAAAGCGGAGGAGCGCACGATTGGAGGTAAGGCCTATGTAGGGCATCCACAGGCCAGGACAAAATCTACCTGACCCTTCACCAAAATCACTCCCTCCAGTTCAAGTAGCCCCATGTACAGTAACTGAGAAATGCCCAGACAACCGAGCTGCACCACTGCTCAAGCCAAGGGACTTCGACCCCAAACACTGTCAGGGCAAACAGGACTCAGCTGCTGCTCACCAGTCCTGCTTCGGCACATCCTGCCAAAAGCTGTGACTCCCAGCCAATCTCAGTCCAGCATTCTTTGGAAGCATTAAACAATGCGTTACAGCAACCTGTGAATTCCGAGACTGGGTTGTCCGTATTCGCAGCACATTCCCATCCTGCATTGAAGGCCACTCTTCAACAGTAACCTCAGTTTCTTCAAGTCTTCGCACCACAAATGGCCGACGGACTATGAAAGCTATGAAATCGTTGCATGTGACAATAGCATTATTGCTGAACCAAGAAACAGCATGAAGAAGAAGATTGATGAGGCCAATATTGCCTGGTGGGGTGCGGTGAGCCGGCTTTCTAACCTCCGTCGGTAGCTGCACCTTCGCCAGACATTAGGGAGATCTTGCTTTGGGCTGCTCTCTGCGCTCTTGCATGTGGATGAAAAGAATAAGACCAAGACTGAGGCTAAGAAACGGCCAAATCCACAGCCACATGGCCACATAGGGGGGGTTTCCCTGGTTTTCCACTGGCCCTTTTAGGACAGCCAAGCCGCGCTGCACGTGATCACGGTGCCATAGACCCAAGCCATGAAACCACCACCCAGCTCGAGGGAGTCCTGGAGGGTCCCGATCCGACCCAAAAGAGCCCGCGGTGGTAGAATCGTAGAAAAATCGCAGAAACCCAACCGTGCAACCGAGCAGAATCTCCAAACCAATCATGATCTGATCATATCTGATCTATATCCGATCCGTTTGACTTCACTGCTGAGCACTCAGGCTCACTCAGGCCGCGCGCGTCCGCGCGCCGCCAAGGACGGCAGTCTTCGACACGACACACAGTAGCGGTCCCACTCCAAAAAGCGCTGAGAATCCAAACCACTGTTGACGGCCTAGACATGTGGCACATTCGTGATCAGTGTCCGTCATTGTCCATCTGTCCTCCGTTTGGCAAAGCTGGACTCCAAACACTCAATGTTCCCGATTCAATCGGGCGAACTTCATTGAGCTGAGTTCACTGGTCGGTTAGGGAGATTGGAGCCCTGCACGCAGGGTTTCTTCCCGGACATAACTTGTCGGTTCGTCAGGTTGAACGGAGAAGTATCAAACCGGGGTTTCTTGGGGAATACTGAAGGTCCGGTCCGCTCACTTCAAGCTTGTGCAAACAAGGACCTCCAGCTTCCGGCGCCTCGTACAAGTCTGCCCAGAAGCGCTGGGGGTCCTCTGCCCACACTTGGTTCCACGCTGAGACCTGCCGGAGTGTTCTAGAAGCCGCGAAACACTCACCCGCCCAATGTGCCACGCGTCGAATTGGATCAGAGACATGGATGACCAAGGCTGTTGCAGCTCGAAGTGATCAACTCGGGATGCACACACTGTCCAGTGTTCTGCTCACGTCTTTGGCAAAGATGCTAGAGACGAGAGGTTGGGTGACATGCCAAGCTCTATGAAGGAAGGAGAACTATGAGTTGTGACTACGACAGGAAAGTCACATCATATCTCCTGCATGACTGCTTCTGTGTATCACACAAACGATCTACATTACCAAAAGCTCGCCCAGGGATGACTAATACGAATAGAGTACCGGTAGTACAGTCAATTCCAAGCTGAGTCTGCCGGCTCTGCAAGACGAATGCTTGTGACTAGCATATGCTGCCGCTGGTCACGCCAAGGTGTCCCAAACGTCAGAAAACATTGCGCTTTCGGTGCGTCGCGCGATCTGGCACCTCAGGAAGCTTCGACAGAACGAGCGGCAAATTGCAGCGGATCCCAATGGAAATACCTGCATCCCGCACCATGCAGTCCACCTTGATGAGCAACCACACCTGCCAGGGCGATCACATGCGATCACAAGAGAATTGAGACACAGCAGTCCAACAAGCCACCAAAATGATTGTACAAACAAAGAAACATAATCCTGCAACAGTTCAACAGTCGCCAAGCCCACCTGCATTTTTGCAGATTCGCTCATGCCATAGTTGCTGCTGAAGCTCAAGAATGCTGCCTTGGCCCCTCCAATGAAGAGCTCAAACCACTCTTTAAGAAAGGTGTACTGGATAGCCAACATCCCCAGGGACTCGGGCTTCAAGTGCAAGGGCTCAGGCAGCTGCACGGAGAGGAAGTTGGAACCTTCCAGGTAGCCCTCCAAATCAAACTTCTGGAGCTCGAAGTGGCCATCCGTCGGGTTACAAAGCTCGCCCGACAGCGTCCGGGTTTTCCTCGTTTATTGAAACATCAGACTCGGACTGGTTGCAAACTACTTCGAACATCTGCAGGGCTACAGTGAATTGAATAGAATGGACTTCCAATATAGATGGATAGATTGGACTTCTGGAATGAATAGGCGTTCGTTGCGTGAAACGGATGGCCTTCCAATAAACCGACACAGCCAATCACTGAGGCCTCCGCCCAACCAGCCCCATGGAGAAGTTTCCCATGGCATCGATTTCTTCGATGGCCAAGTCCATAAATCTGCAATATGCACTCGGAAAACCATGCTGGCTAAGATGTTGCTTGAAGAGATTTTAATACGGTGTTGTCCTTTATATAACTGCACCAACTGCCCAGCAGTTCTCCCAGCTTCCTGACTGTTGACTCAATCAGCATCTCGAGAAAAATATACGGGCGACGTCCACCATGGTGTCCCTTTCAAGTCCTGTTTGGCTGATTTAACCTGTCAAACTGAATCGCTCAATCTCATGAGCCAAGTTGAACCCTGCCTGGTCATGAAGGAGCTCAGGAAATATTCCTGCACCGAAATGCGGAGCAACCGAGCTTGACTCATGATACTCATGTGACATGACATCGTGAACAGCAGGCAACACACACAACAAAAAATAACATGGGCCGCCACGTGCGCCAGCTGTCCTGCATGTCTGCCAGAAGAAGGTCCGTGGTGTCTAATATACGCATGGCAAAGAAAATGGAGAGGCCGCCAGCGACCAACAATGTCAGCATTAGCCACTTGGTGCAACGGCCGAGTGACAAAGCTGAGGCCCTCAGCGACTCAGTCTTCTGGCAAGTTGAACTTAGCTATCAATGAAACCCCACCTACCATTCCCTTGCTGCCTGTTTGCTCATGCCAGTTCATGTCAAGATACCACTTTCTGACTCGAGGCGAGAACTGGTAGAGGAGCAAAACCACCAATGGCGTTCCCAAAGTCAAACTGCAAAGGATGATCACTAAACGTGTCACCAACCATGATGAAAAGTCTCCTGCTAACTGCTTGCCGCTTTTCCTCGACTTCTGCCGGAACAGCGTTCTTTGCTCCAACATACGTCGTTGGCCATCACTCGCCCACCCTGCTCGAGATGTGGTTGTCGTTGTCACCCCAATCATGCCCATGCACTTTAGGTCTAATTCTGTCAATGGCTTTGTGTCGTTTTGGTACCTCTCCAAAGCGTCTTCATAAGTATCCGTATTTTCCGCGCTGGCCCGTGCCACCAACCCGAGCACCATCACACCCAGTAGGCTCATGGCAAAATGGCTGCAGGGCCCCCTGCCCGACATCTTCATTTTGCTTAGGGCCCTCTACTCTACATATTGCTCAGTTGCTGCAAGCCGGAACGGCAAAGACTCCTTCCAACGACAAAGCATACAAAACACACAGCTTGCCTAAGCCAAGGCAGTAGGGCCGCCACAACAGGACCCGTTTTGAGACAAACATCGTTTCATGTTTGGTGCGCGTACGTCGGAGCCATTGACAAGGCAGAACATGCAGCGAACATGTGACATGAACAGGTTAGATCGCAGCCAGTGGGCAATCAGCAATCAGCAGTCGGGTCAAGCAGCTTCAACCTCGCTTGTCCTCGACTTGTCAGAGTGCCAGGCGTCAAGCTCTCCCTGCTTGCGTCGCAGCTCCCCGCGCAGGTGCAGCGCAAACCTGGATCAAACTGGTGAGTCGCGATCGCTGTCAGGTCCCATGGAGTCATTTCGTGGGCTCGCCAGGTGACTTTGAAGTGTCCATGGTCAACTTCTAAAATCAGTTCCAATCTCCACTGGCAATGTATGTGCATGTGATTGCATGTGTATATGGTATACTACATGCATCTACATGCTACATATTCTGGAGAGAAAAGATCGTGCGTCCTGGAGCATCTGCAAAGATCTGTGTGTGTGTCGTGGAATTCTAACTCCCTCCCAGATGGGTCCCCTGGCGTTTGGCCCGGATCCTGGCGCAAGACAGCGTCCAAATCTGCCAACGCCTCATCAGGTCATGCAACCAATCTTCGAAGAAGTCACACATGAAAAAGCGGGTTCCCTTGATTCTGTGACATACCCCAATCCTGGTTTGAGTCATGGGCCACAAGGTGAACATGAATCAACGACTTGATGAGTTGGGCCAGGTCCAGGTTCATTGTGAGTTGCCTTGATTCTCCGCAAACGTCCTATCAGGTCCTATCATACACTAGCGTGACAAACGAAGCGCAATGCATGACTCAACCCTTTCCCACAATCAGAAGCATCAGGTCCTAGGTCCTAGGATGTCCAAACGGAGCATGTGGAGATACAGAGATCTCATCCAGCGTGCTCTTTCAATCAGGGGACCGCTATGCTCACCTCTGGCACCGTGCACTTTTCTGGCAGCTTCCTGGGTCAAGGCTGTACGATAATTCCAGGTCTTTGACAAAGGCATGGACAAGGAGAAGGTTGGGCCATTGGGAGACACTCATGACCTTAAGGCACGTGCAATCTGTTGTCGGTTGCTTCGAGAACAGCTGGAGCACTGAGAGCAGCTCAATGCCCAACCCTCAAGTAACAGTCATGAGATTGGGCCAGAAGGCTACTTCTCACTTGACTGCCGAAAGACTCCAGCGGCACACCGCTGCAAGCCAAAAGGCAAGAGCTACATGACCCTTCCACTTGCCCCTCCGCTGCTGATGATGAAATGCTCCACAATAGTCATCCAGTTGGACAAGTGCTAAGAATCGAGTGCGCCGAAGCCACATCAGCAAGTGGAAGGAGTTCAGCCTACGGACTCTCTTACAACACCCTCCATAAAGAGACGAAGGTCGCCAACATCTTATTGTGCACATTTGCCAACGCTCCAAAGGAGAAATGACGCGGTCAGTCTTTTCTACTCGTGTGCCTCTTTGTGGCCGCTGCGGCTTCTGCATTTCTCCTTGGCCTTGGGCCTCTCAAGTGTGTACATTTGCAAGGCAGCTTAGTATCCTGGCGGTGCCCTTGGCAATCCATAGCCTGTCAGGCAAAGACTCTCCTGACGTACTTCTGAGCAAACCGTCCAATCTACTCTCACGATGTTTCGTGCTGTTGTGACTGGTTCCAGCCTCCACCATAGCCAGCTGCCGGTCTGCAACATGGGACCTGCAACTGACGACAGCAATCGTTCAAGCAATGCCACGTGGTCCTGTCCCACCAGGGCAAGTATGAAACCAGGGACCTGCAAAGGCCCGCAGTGGGAGGCAAATGAAAGCCCCTGGGTCAGTCCCATGTCTTCGTAATGCCACGTCCGTCTCTCTCCAGCCTCAAAGGACATGCCAGGCGTCAGGCCTCCAGGAACGGTCACAGAGATTTGTTGACCATCTGGCACCTTGTGCAGGGCCCAGCCACGAGTTCCCAGTCCCAAAAAACCTCCCCTTCTGGCCTGTTGTTCTTCAAGATGGCATGGCTAGCATAGCACCCGCACAAACAAGCATTCCTCCTTTGACCCTAGATCTTCCATGCAGGCTACAAACTCGAACTCAGCAAGTACCGTTCGCCCACGCTCTCCTCACCTCTTACCTGGTCTGACTCCTGTAGCCAAGGCACCGTAATGCTGATCTGCGATCCAGCCTGTGTAGCTGCTGAGCTCAACCCTAGTGAGAAGCTGTAAGACTGTAAGAGTGCCTATCCACCTTTCCAACTGAAAGAAAACGGACACCATCGCTACCCTGCAGAAGATGTTCCTTTACTAATGTGCTTTCTGTCCAAGTCGTTGTCCAACTTGCACTCTAAGGGGGGACGACCACCATGTGAGGGCACTTGACGTTGTGCTACTCTCAAGGGCAGAAATCTGTCAGGAGCCATCAGAAAGGCCACAAGGACTGCCATCAATGTGCATTAGTGGGTCCTAAATAAGGACAATCACCGTGCCTCACATCCCTCAGGAACAGTGACAGACAAGGTGCCTTAGCAAATCGATGTTCTGCGCAGAACAGGAAAGCACAAGTCAATGACCTAAACGAGACATCATGCTGCTGACATCTGCTCACCACAAGGCTATTTGCATAGCATGACAAGCAGGATATCTACTCTTTGATGCTTGTTGCGGTAGACACTTTGAAAAATGAAAAAGCAAATGGGAAACCCGAACAGTTGAACGCATTCAAAGAACATCAGCGGGTATGCCCGAGGCCTCGACTAATCTCAGGAGGGCCGGCAGGAACTCTGCTCTCATCAATTTCGATGTCCACGACCTGCTTTGAAGAGAAGGTTCGGTCCTTGTTGACCAGCCGTCATGCTGCATAAAGGGCAAGACTCAAGACACAATACAAAAAAACAACTTGCTTTCAAATCTTTCAATCAGTGACTAACCCTGCGACTGGCTGCCGCTTTGTCCAACTGGACCCCCCAGTGTGCATCAGTATGGTCAGGTTTGGTAAGAACGACTGCCGGGACAAATCAACCCGAAGCTGCTCGAACCTCCAGGTCGGTGGGAGGAGGAGGCGGCAGCGCATCTGAGAAGCAAATCGTCTCTCTTGCTCTGAAGTCGCATGTTTAGAAGCAACGGCTACTTTTGGGAGAGCAGATCTTTGAATGCGGCCGCTCCGCAAATACCAGCTGCAAGGATCCATGGTATATCTCATGGTGAGAATCAAAGAGAAACAGCGCTTGTGCCTTTGGGCTTAGCTTCTTGAAAGCTCGCCAAAATGGTCTTCATCATGCGCTCCTGCCGGCAACATACCCCTCCCCTAGAACTGCATCACCCTCTGGATCTCGTGCATAGGCAAATGACAGTCCGCTCTTGGACAACTTCGATCGTCTCAGTTTTGGCAAGACCATGCAAGACATCAGACTTAGGCTGTTCTTTAATCCCATCACTCTGGGTTCTCTGGGCGCCTGCTCCACACGGCACCGCATTGAAGCACTGAAGTTCGGGTACCTCCGGCCGTCCCAGGGGCACGCCATCCCAGGAGTGTGTTGCTCCGAAACTGCTTTGAGTCACTGATCTGGGCGGCCATATGACCAGATCACAGGAAAAGGATGGAAAAGGATGGAAAAGGTTCACAGGAACTACTGAAACGAACGCAAATGTCCCCTGGAAAATCCCTGAAAGGACTGTGGGTTCCATGGGAAGATTCAGGAACTTGAGCAGTGCAGCAATCTTCAGCCCAGCAACTCCAGCTGCTGGATCCTGAGTTGTGTGGAGGGGTGCATGGCACCCCTGGCTCTGGAAACCTAGGCCCTACGGGTCTTGCACACCTTAAATGACGTAGGCTAGGACCAACCATGATGATTCTCCAGGACCAGAACAAACCATACCAAGCCAGCTGCAGAGACAGAGAGAGAGAGAGAGAGATTATTAATTCCCTTTATATATATACATATGTTATGTATATTATGTGTATGTGTATGTATGTATATATATATATGTGTGTGTGTGTTATATACTATTAATATGCGACAGTTCTTGCCCCAACGTCTGATCTCAAACTGCTGATCAACAGCTTCAAGGTAAAGTGTGACAACGCGAACTGGCAACAGGAGATTGAAGAAGGTGCAGAAGCAGGCCAACAGTACAGTATATATATATATACATATATTAGTATATATTCCTTTTTCCTCTGCGTGCATGACCAAGAAAGAGGGGCCACAACACCACACTGGGACAGGCAACTCCAACATCACAATCCATATCAACAGCAAGACCCGCGGCATGGTGGCAAAGCAACAGCTGGCCACCTAACAGGTACTGACAGCAGCCTGGATCACTCTGGCCAACAACACCAGCTGCACAGAAGACTAATTGCAGGGAATCCAAAGCTGGCCAAACCGCATGAGGCAACGGATCAATCATGGAATGATCCAAGTGATCAACAATAATGAGCGTGAACAACAATAGCCCCGAGAAGCAGACTCACGGTGGACCAAAGATTTGGCAGAGGTGATCAACGTGGATGAACCAAAAGCCGCTGGAACAACAGCTGAGGATCTCACCACGGGTGGCCACACCAGTGGTTGAGAGTGAGCCCAACAATGGCAAGAAGAACAGGTGCAACTCAAACACCTTTCAACGGAGCCTGGAGTTGCAGCCCACAGCATAATTCAACAAAAGCTGATTTGGCCATCTATGGATTGGCGGCAGGAGTGCGAACAGAATCAATGCCTTGGCCAACATGTATTACGGTGAACAGCTTCTCGGTGTCCATCCACCGTTCTCAGTGTGTTCTGTGTTTAGCTTGCTTTTCGACATTTGGTGATGCAACGCTTGTTTCAGCTGTTTCATGACGCCTGCACAACAATACCTTTTGTACAGCCAGGGGCCTGTACGGCTCCCTGGCTCAAAAAGGCCTTGAGCCATTTATGGAAACAAAAGAAACGAGTGCACAATAAGAGAAAGGTGCGACACCAGAGCGTGCAGTCATTCGCAAAGCCAGCCAGACAGCCAGCCAACCCACCAACCAAACAAATGATCGCAAAAGAACAGTGCCAAGCATCAAGGAGTTCATCAAATCGCCCAGGCCCGCCTGCCGTGGAGGAGCAGCTTCAAATTCCATTCCGACCGAACCGGCCTTTTCTACGCTGAAACCCGTCCAACAATCGAAGGGGATGGCATGGCCCCCTTGGAAACTACAAGCAAAGAGCTTTCCGCTTCCATGATTGGTGCTATCTTTACTCCAAGGTCCAGGTGGGATCTTAAAGAATTGCACGTGTCCGATTTTAAATGCCAGTGAGCCGCTGGCTTGCAAATGAGCACCAATGGCTTGTCCGTGTCGCCCTGCACGGTGGGTGACCGGGAAATAGACGGACCAAACTGCACTAACCGGGGATGCAGGTATGGAAGGAACTGAACTCTCGATTGGGCACTTGAGTCAGGTGATCAACCGGTGCTGGCGCCATGTAACCTACATCGAGTGGTATGAGGTCTTCCAAGCAAGTGTTTCAAAAACAGCCAAAAGAAGGGAGCAGCACCTGGGATGCTTCACCGCAAAAACAAAACATACATATCATACACCCTTTCTCGACATGATTGGACATGTCCTAGCATGATTCCAGCTTCATTCCTGCCTCAGACGCGCGTGCTCGTAGCTGTTCCTTCTTCTGCTCCACATCCGCCAGCTCCCTGCATTGGTTTGAAGAGACTTGGCTATGACTATGCAAACAGCCCTTGTCAAAATGGCATGACAGCGTGAATCCCAGCAGAATCAGGTGGTATGGCCCCAAAAAGAAACATTCCACCCAGCAAAGTGGATTGCACAGCCCCAAAGGCTCGAAACTACGCCTTCCCAAGTGGCCATAAGATATGTGCTGCAAGGCATGTGGATTTCGATGAGTTTCGTGAGCCCCTCCAGTTTTTTTTTCACTTTCGGTTCCCTTGGCACCTCCTGAGCTGGGCAGCCACCTGCTCTTGATCCTGGCGTTTGAGACATCTACTTGGAGCACCAAAGGCTTCAAGAAGCCCTCCAGAGGCCCTCAAAGCCATGAGTCTCTGCAATGTGTTTTGGTGCCAATGGTTGCTTTGACACCCGCCTTTGAAGTCTCACACTTGCTACGGGCGATCTGCTATGGCTATGACCCACCCCGTCCAGCTCAAACCGTGACTCATTGCCCTTGTCCTTCTGAATGAGTCGCTGCAGCTCATCGAAAAGCGCCTGGGCATCTTGCCCGAAGCCTTCCTGTGGCGGTTTGGACGATCAGAGTAAAGTGCCATCAAGTCTCCAAAATAATGGCTGGTCTTCCCGAGCTACCTCTCGGAAATACTAACTACAGTAAGATTATCTGAAAGGCGGGTCATGATGCTTTGTCTGGTGCTAGTGAGTTGCCGAGTGTCCAATCAACAAGGGCCACTGTGTTGATGTTTAGCGCCCTCCAGAATCTGGAACATCTCACCCCGGAGTCAAGAACTCCCATCAGCGCCTCCTGACAGAATTCCAGCAAACGGGCCTCGATGATGGCAGAGTACCTCAGTTCTTGGCACTTTTTTGGGAGAACATCTGCCTACATGCACTCACGCCTTGCAGTTTGCTCATCCTGGAGGACATCATACTGGCATACACTGGCGTCCACATAAATCAGTTTGTGGCAATGTCATGACTCGTAACACTACGTATTTTCATAGGAGGGATGGGAGACCTCCTTTGAGGAGACCCTCTTCATCATAAGGCTATATGTCCATTAAGAGGTCTCACATCCCAAATTTGAACAACCGTCAGGAGAAGAAACAAAGAGCGCACCAGTCACTCTTTTTGCACGCACACTTCACGTCTTCCCAAGGGGTCACACACCTATTCCTGTAGACTTGGGTACCTCCCTAAGAGTCAAGAGCAGTTATGAGGCAGTTACTAGACCGGAATCCGGCATGCCCCCATGTCATAACCACTACGAGTATATTTATTTTTACTTTATATCTAATAGGAGGAAATGGCCCACCTCTAGACTGACCTTATCCTCCGATGCTTTTGTTCCAGAAGTGGTGACAAAGCTCTGCCAATGCATGTTTTTTAGCCGAAGGGGCTCCTGGAAGGCGGCATACTGTTCATGTGTATGGCCATGGTTCTGCAGATCCTGTACCTGCAGTATGCTTGTCTGACGAAGGTTTGTATAAAGGTGTGGTGACGTGACAATCTCTAAGGTGTCAAGACGATGTGATCTAACGTCATTGAACCTTGACTGCGCACCTGGCTTCTAGAATTCATCAAACCAAGCCTCCTGGTCGAAGATTGGCATGCACTTGGTGTAAAACCTTCGGGAGCTTGCGCTTATAATGCCGAGTCGGAAAACACACCATGGCACATGACCATGTGTGTCATGCGCGTCACTGTGGAAGACGACCTCTCAATGTTGTGAAGCCCGATGTTTCTTCTATATCTGATACAGGACGCACGGCACGGAGCATAGGGTTAAAGACGATGCCACAGACAGCTATAGAGGTTAACGTATCCTCCAAATGGCTTTGCATTGAGCCTTACCCTGGTGCACAAAACTGTGCTCCACTGCCACATATGTACAGACCCAACGCCGCAATTTTCACGAAATCGTCCCATTTCCAGCCAGCATGTTCATGACATCTGCGGACGGGTGATATTAAGAACGTCTGATCCAAGGAGCTCATGTAGGTCATCATTGAGGAGCTTCATGGCCTGAAGATGGACGTCGCGCTCAAGTTGGGCTTCATTTGTTGTGCTCTTCCGACTCTTCCACTTCCCGTCGGTGTCAAGGAATCTGACCTCTCTAGAAAGCCAAGGGTAGCCGATCAGGAAAAGGGGCCGGACCCCTGCTTTGTGGGACTTGGAGCTTTACCCCGAGCAAGTGGCCCAAGTGGCGTCTCCCGGCGTTGTTCCGTGAGAACACATAAGGATCCACAAGGAATGTATTTGTGTCCGGCTAATGCATTCACCAAGCGGATCAAAAGCTTTGCCATGATATTATGCACCCATCTGTCCACTGAGTTCTTTTACCCACAAATTCCATCCACCAACCGCAAAAAAAGGACCTGGACGGCTAGTCACTGCTATATACATTATACATGTCTGCCACCTCACCCTGGACTGACACCGTTCAAAACATATCCAAGAGCACTCACAAAATTCAAAATTGGTCTATCAGGGAGTAGGTCACGAGACCCACCGCTATCCGCCAACCCAAAAACCATTCGGCCAAAAGGCAAAGCTGATGAAGCGATGCGCCAAGCCCATCTCTCCCTCCATGAGCTCCTTATGAGGTGGGAAACGGTCGCAGCGAAGACCGTTTTCCGACCGTAGACCACGACCACGTCGCCACGTGAGATCCGATCCTGTTCCTTGGATTTGTCAGGTAGGTCTTTGTGACACGTCGCCTAGTTACGAGGTCCTGGACGCGCACCGACCCTCACGAAAGCGGAAGCCCGACCCGCAGCAGTGCGGCACAACAAAGCCAATCATGATAAATTAACCTCAGGATTAAAAGCGTTTAGGGTCCAAACTATGTTGTGCACACAGGGTCCTCGCTGCCTGGGCGCGAATGTTTTGCTCCATCCTTTTCGGATGTCTGTGGCAAAGTCTTGTCGGTGGTCGTTCGGCTCCTCTCTTCCCCACCGCTGATTTCCCGCTCAAGAGAAAAAGCACTAAGTTGCTTACCCCTGCAAGCCCAGCAAGAGCGAACGACTGCGATTCATGCAAATCACTCAGTAGCTTTGCCCTGCGGCACACTGCACACCAGGCCCTAGAAACCGCTAAAAAATACTGATATAAAGAGAACATATATATATATATATACAGTATATATACATTTACATATGCCTATGTGGTGCTCCCGAAGAACCTATATTACTATATACTATTGTTTATTCTTTGTGCGTGTGGATAACAAGGGTGATGATTCTTCAACAGAATAGACTCAGCGTGACTCCCTTTGTAATCTTTGTATGCCTTTTCTGCTGGGGTTTGCTTGCTGTGGTACGTGCTCCCTGCTGGGTTTACGTTGCACATGTCGCTCTTGCCTGCCTGTGCAGGGGTCCAAACGCTGTCACAAAAGTGGCCCGAAGGAATTGAACACAGGTCCAAAAGTCGAGGAAGAACTTCAGGCAAAATCTCTCCAAGATCTGCCAAGACCCTGAAAACCCCAAATCCACGCTTGCACCCCAAGCCTGCCTCCTACATCCAGGGTGAAAGCAAATGCCATCCCTAAATCAAACAGGCTCTTTGCAAGGATACTGGTACAGCGCCCCGGCACTCTAGAAAACTCTCTGCTTTGCACAGAAACGTCAATGACACAGTTCCACGGATTCACTTCCAGATGTAGGCTGATCACACAAGCCTCTCGACAATCTCCACGTGCTCCTATATAATTGCAAGAAACCATGCTTGGTTGCCAGAACATGTCTGAGCATCATGGACCCACACCTTGATCTATCCTACTCATTCCCCTCATGCCACAAGCCTCCCCTCCAAAAAAATACTAAAATAAACACATGATAAAGGCAGCAAAAAAGAGAGAGAGAGAGAGAGAGATTTAGAGTGAGTGTCACAGAGGGTGAGAGAGGAACGCAGTAACAGTTACACACAAACATTCACAAGCATCCCCTCCTGCCATGAGCATAAGTCCCAGAAGGGTTTCCCACTGCTCTCTCTAAGCCATTTCTTGTGCATGGCATTGCAGGTGAAGATGGCGGTCTTGATGTCGGTGATCAAGGAGACCCCCGCCTCAATGGCGCCCCCGGCGCATCTTGAAGCCGTCGGTCAAGGCATCCGAGTCCTTGGTCGCGTCCGATCACTCCTAGTAGTAAAAATGCTCCTAGTAGCAATGCCCTTGCTCCTAGTAGCTTCTTGCTCCTAGTAGTAAGGCCAGGAGCCCCTAGTAGCGTCCGATCGCTCCTAGTAGCAATGCCCTTTGCTCCATTCGTAGCGTCCTTGTTCCTATCGTTACTCAAGAGATAGACCTCTCTTTGAGGGTTCAGAGACGTCATGGACATCCACCAACATAAACATCCACGGATGAAAGGGTGCGAACACTCAAGAACTGGCGCGACTAAAGTATGAACAGGGAGCAGGAGCAGCAACAGGGATGAATGAAACATCTCAATCAACATGCCCGGGGTCCATAGAATCAGGAATGTCAATGACCAAATCCATCTTGCCAGCTTGGAGCATGGTCAGCACGTTGGGCTCCCTCTTGATCAAAGGCTTGTAGACCAAACTCGAGGTGATCCCGCTCTTCGTCAGGTGCCTAAGCCAACACGCTTCTGCACTTAGCGGCAATCTGAGATGTCCAAGTGTGGGCATTTCTGTGGGAGATCCCGCAATGTGTCAAAAGGAAGATTTCGCAGCACGATCCACTTGCAGAAAACAAATATATGGTTAGTTAATATTAGTCGTGTATTCATGCTTTGGGGGAGATCCTTTTTGGTATTCTCATGTATGCTTAAAGGACGCGCATGGAGGCCCTTCTCATTTCGCTTTTTTGTCAGCTCAAGTGGCTCATGCGTGCTCTTGGTGGCGAAGAGGCTGAAGCCCATGTCCTGCAATTGCTTGGCGGCTCCCGTGGTGACGAATTCCGCCTTGGCAGCCACCGGGCCAATGGAGATGACGATGTTCTTCGCGGGCAGCTTAAAATTGACCGCGATCATGCCTAGACCGGGGCAGAGTCTGTTCTTGTGAGAGGATATCCACCAGCGGTGCTCAAAGAAGAGGCGGAAAAGAATCACAAACAAACTCCTTTCATGCGGGTGCCTTTCAAGAAAGCCTCATAGGCGTTGACACCAAAGCAGGCCACCTCACCCGTGGAGGACATCTCAACGCCCAGCCGGGGATCGGAGTTCTTCAGCCGTCCGAAGGAGAACATGGGCACCTTGCACGCCTCAGCGCAATATATAACCATAAAAGCGATTAGAAACAAGTGCATCGCTACTAGTAACAAGTGCCTTACTAGTAGTAACAAGAAGCTAGAAACAAGAAGCTATAATTATACAACTATATACTATATGTATATAAGTTTGTTTTTCGGTGATGCCATGCCACCCGCGAGGGAAAAGGGAGCGTTTTCCCCCGAAAGTCCCGGGTCGCGAAGCCCGTTGCTCGCTGATGCTCGGGTAGTGGTATGTCAGGTGTTCGCTGGCTATCTTTTGCCACTTGAGCATGTCTCTGCCCGGTTGCTTCACAGGCCTCTCGCCCAAAACAATTGCAGTGCTATCCGCCTACCTGCCTTCCAACGAGCTACCGCAAAGACCCTCTCCCAGCATGAGCCACTTCTAGCCGAGAGGCCACATAGTCAATGTCCATGGGCTGGATGATGGCAGGATAGACAGGCAATCCCGTCATGATGCGCGTCGCCAACTCGATGAAGTTCACATTGTAGGTCTTGGAGATGAAGGGCATGGATCGAGAGGCTCGCAGGTTGCATTCGATGACCTTCACCTCATTATCCTGCAAGTTCGCGGCCGGCCCACCCCCTCGGCATCAGCCAAAAGGAGTGTGAAGAACTCAATTCTGTTGAGTGATGTCGAGGCGTATATTGCTCTAGACAATACGTTCGACATCGTTCGACTGGGTCCTTGCAAATAAACTGGATATTGAAAGGCCCTGAAATCTTCAAAGCCTTGCATAGCTTCTGTGAAATGCCTCGAGCAGAAATAATGAACAATCAAGGACAAAATTGCAAGTGAAAGTAGCAAGGGTTGAGCTTCATTCTTTAAAAAAACCAAAAGGCATAAAGCAACATCTAGTGCAACCCTCAAATGCCGCAGCTTCTGCTCTCGGCACCCCTGTGGACCGATCTGGTAGGCAAGGCTACCACGCGGCCACACGCACCACACGGTTGCGCCGAGGTTCTCTTGACCCTTCGGTGGGTCTCCACAAATAAACGCTGGGCGGGCAGGAGAAGAGTGGCATCTCCGCTGTGCACACCTCGCCACAAGGCGAGCAAACGGGGGCATGTCTGGATGGTGCGAAGTCACAGGAAGAATGAGCATCCGAATGCAAAGATATCAAATATCTGCAGAACCTAAAATTACACATCCTATAGAATGACGACACTACAGGATTTTGAAATAACCCATTGTGGAGGGGCGGTCGTTTGGAGTCTTCTAACGTTTTTGGATACCGGATACCGGCTCGGAGTCGAAGACGCCTGCGTTTTCGATGTGCTCCGCAATGGCGTAGTTCACCAGCTCCCCGGCCTTGCGGAAAAGCTCGGCTGCAACGTCTTGTGGTTTTCATGTTAGTTCTTCTCTTTCTGATGCCTTCTTCCGGTCTGTGACCTTATGCCTGTATATTATATATATATATATAACTCCCAGATCCCATTCCCAGTATCGATCACTTCCTCTCCTTGCCAATGGCATCCATTTCCACCTCCTTGGCGCCGGTGATGTATTTGGAGATCACCACAGGGTGATCCATGCTCACCACTGCGGCCGTCTTCAGGAAGAGGTCCAGGTCATCATCGGTGGTCACCACCCGCATGGCAGCACCACTCAGCACATAGGAGGGCCGGACCAAGACAGGATAGCCTGGAAAGTCAAGTTAGCTGAGGTCGATAAACACGAAAACTTACATTATACAATATAGTATATATATATAGATATAGATATATATATATATACACACACATCCCGCCCAGAAGGACTATCTGTGGAGGTTGAGAGTTCCTTCCCACGTTCGGGGCGCGCAAAAGACTGCTGGATCGACTCCCCCGACTTCGACCCGACTTCCCCCCGACCCACACCGGCCACACCTGCCGTCTTGCAAAAGCGCCGTGCTTCCTCCAGAGTGGCGAACTGGGACCATTCCGGCTGGTCGATGCGGAGAGAGTCACACAACTTGCTGAACTTGTTTCGATCCTGGCCACAACTCCACAAGCAACCAAGAAAGACTATATGCAGTTCGTATGAGTCCTGCATGCCTTCATGTCCACAGAAGGGGTCCACAAGCTGGCAAATAGGCCCATTTCTGCCACTCAGTTCGTCTCCTTTGTTTCAAGGCCAAGCCCAAATGGAAAGGCCCGGCAACGTTAAGCTGAGCTTTACATCTGCACTCTGACACAAATCAAAGTAAAGCATCGCGATTGGCGTTGACATGCGTTGACCTACTCGATGCTTCAAATCAACGTGGCAATTTGCATTATTGATGAAAATCACCATTATGGTTTGAAACTGGGATGAACTCATGAAGATGATGACCACCCTGGATGAAGATTATGCCACTGCAGGCTGATCCATTGGCACCATTTGGCACCATGA